GTTTAAATGCATTTAAGTTTATGCGTGGTCGCCTCATTTCGGTGTGCATATAATCTCAAAATCCCACATATGTGGAATGTCTTACGTAAGTGAACCGTAATCCAGCATAACGCTCTTGTACTTGTCGTAAACTCAAACTGACAATTAAATCAATACGTGCTCTTACGATTGGTAAATCTACCGTAGTAGCGATGATCTAGAAAGAAGAATATAGGCTATTAAAATGATAAAATACAATAACATCATATCAGAACGTCAACATCAACGTGAAGGTACTCCATCAAGTACAAAATAGCGCTTCCCCTCAGTGCGCAAGCTACTGGCAACCTATTTCGTGCACTGAAACCCTCACAGTTTGCAATTCATCTAGACTTCTTGCAGCACAAAAACTGTGGAAACACTAGCTAAAGCAAAATTGACTTAAACTGGAAAGCATTTACGAGCTAGTACGATAGAGTTCAGCACCACAGATATTACAGGACTTGCGGCGATGCGCAATTATTCCCGAAATGTAAGCTTTTGGGTGACAGGAATGGTAAAACGTAGCTTGAAATGGTCATGTCATGAGCAATGTAAGACTCTATCCAGATTGCAGCAAACACATCTTCAAGCTGAACAGTTATCTTAGTCAATTAAAATTGTCGAAGCAGTGTTGATTGTAGGTAAGGCAAGTCAAAGAAAATTGACTATTAATTTATATTGATACCATGACGACCACTCAGGTGAATGTCGGTTGATTCATCATAATTATCTGTTAAACGTGAGCCTTGTCATAGGTTGCTCTGAAACATTTTGTAAAAAATTTCCGACCTTCTCGTATATTCCGCCCTTAAGTTGCGTATTAACTTAGCAGGTAACGTAAAAACGATACGTTTCGTTCAACGCACTGGTCTCCTCGCTCACCCCATCAATTCTATGACTATGCACCACGGTCTTATTTGCCTTCTAATTTTGCAACTTGCGACAAGCAAGCCACGCAGTGAGCACACTCATTACGTGCATTTCCAAAACAAGGCATTTCGATGTACCCAAGAGGAACACTTAAATTTTGCATCAGCAATAACCTATGTTTATCGATCTTAGAAGAGAATGAACCCGTACCTGTAGAGGAACCCGATGTAACAATCAGTGTGATTTTATACATCACCTAGCGCAAGTATACAAGCTCGCATTTTTCTGCATATGCTATGACAAACGTCAACGTGTGTGTTTGAACTCTTCGCAATTGCCTTTGTGCCGATGAGCAATGGATACAGACTTAGTGCGCATATGCACATTTGGCGTCAGGCAAACAACTTTTATGTGCTTTCTGTAACGAGGATCAGGCCATAACAATCGAGCGACTGCACTGAATAGTTATGCGCTTTTGAAGGCTTCTGGTCCCACTGGATGTAACAAAATTGCTGATGACTTTCGCACGGCCGTAATGGTAGCTTTCGGTGGATGCTGCTGGTGCCGCACTTTTTTCTGTTTAAAATTTGCACAAAATTACGTAAAATGTGACGGCTATATAATGACAAGGTTTCGCCGATGCGAATGGATTATTCCATAGCAAGAAGATGTAATCAACAAAAATTCCAAATTTCATGTTAATAGGCTCCGTAGAAGTCCACGCTTCCTCCATAAAGAGCGTACATGACGGCAAAGTAAGTAGCTAGTCAAACCTAGATTAGTAAAGCCTCAACATACGTGCACAAACATTGCCAATAGATCGGTGAAGTGGCTAGTATGTTATAATAGAATCTTTTCGCGATTCTTCCTTCAGGGTAAAGTTGTGGTTTTCGCCTAACAGATTCCTCGCAACCGATTCATCCAGAAGACTACCGAATCTTAGCAGCTTTCAAACACCAAAATTTTTTGTAAACCTGAATCAAAGGGTGGACGACGACGCGCATCGCGCCTTTAAGGGTCACTGGGCGCAATATACGCCCTACTAAAAAAATTAAGTTTACCAAGGCTGGGGCTGGGGATCACCGGCTCGTCACTCAGACAAGTCTTTCAATGGTGCCTTATGCTGCGGCTCACCGGTCATCACTCCACGAAACTACAAAAGGTCCCTTCAACTGAAAATTACAGGCTCGTCGTTGACGAGGCAATTTCTTTAGATGATAGCGAGTGTTATTCAACCCGGGCCTTCCTAATCTAATGGCTCTATTTGCTTTACCTCTATAAGCTATGCGTCGAGAGGTTCTAATGCAGGCAGAATCTAGACCACGCATGGACTAGCCAGAAAAGTTTACGCTTTTCTTGAACTTGGCGTAGTTCTTTAGGATTTATCGTGAGATATTTTGTTGTGGCTCACATCGTCTATCATTTCTCTTACATATACGCCAAAAAGACGTTTTTCGCATCTTCTATCATCCCCAGCTAGTTACGAATATCTATCAAACTCAATATTTGTCGACCGAATTATCGCTGACCCGAGGTCTACCGACCAAGATTAGACGACTCTTTGATCTAAATTTCGTCTGATAAGCTTCTTCGACCAAAGCTTTGTTAATTCAAGCCTGGCGAATAAACCTTCGAAGACATCAGATCGGACTTTTTAAGCGCTCTCGACCTAAACATCGTTAACTTGGAAATCATCGATACAAGCATCATCGACTTATGCTTCGTCAATTACCTTCGCTTAACCAATATTCGCGGACGATAGATTACGATCTAAAATTAGCGGAATAAAGATTTGACGACCTGAGGTCTGTCGACCAATATTCGCGGACCTGAAGTACGCCGACCAAGGACCAGTCAACTCACTCTTCTTGCTGACCCACCATTTGACGGACTATAACCCGTACTACATGCCTAATCAGGATAATGTTGTCAAAATGAAAAGGAATAATTTGCGATGCCTGGGTACCCTGACATTAGAGGAATAGGTGTCCCTGAGCACACTTGCGTACTAGAAGCTAAAATAAATACTACACATATTTGAGGTGTTACCGACTGGTATTCTTCCATTTACTAACGGTGCTCTCCGCTTCCACAAAACGACCTTACTAGTCTCAACTGTAACAACTTCCTGCTCCCATACAACGACCTGTCCTTTTCCCACACACCCGTGTCTCACTCTGATGTAACTTCCATTTCCAACACGCCCTCCTCGAACAAATCTCTTCTATCACATGTAATTTACAAACTAGTCAAGAGCATCAACTTGCGAAGGCGCTTCCTGTCAAGAGGCATAATAAACATGTCAGCTGGGTTTCAGATGCACCTAGAATCATCTGATGATTGCTGACAGTTTCATATTGTAACGGGGCACCCTTTGTCTGGGTGCCACTAAACTTCACGTACATTAGTACGTGCAGAGGAAGTTAATCTACTTAAACGATTCGCTCAAGTAAAGGTAAAAAGAGAACTGTATTTTATATAGTTAAGCTATCGATATAACTTCAGTCGTTATGTAAATGTAGTAATCCAAATTCTCGTATAACGACAACCTGCTCACCACTCATTGCGCGCGTCTAGCAGCGATTGGTAGTAATCTATGGTTGACATGTCTTATATCAACCAATCTTGGAGTGGCGCATCAATATTATCCAGAAGGGGGATAATATTCCTTCAATATTATCTATTTCGGATAACATTGGTAGAATATTGTCATGCTAGACAATATTCCTATTAACACCGTTTGGTGTCAATATCATGTAGCAGGCTACCCCGTTATATCACCCCCCTCTTATCCATCAATCACCCGTTGATTGAATTAGAATTGAGTGGGACAGGGTGATGACCGTTGTATCACTCTGGGAAAGGGAGCAATTGTTAGTCAAATACCATTCATCTGTCAATCCAACGCATAATTTCGAAAACCAAGAGAGTTGCTACTGCAGTAGCAAGAGGGGCGGCTGCACGCATACGTGCAGCCGGAGAGAGTACTTTTCACACCTCAGCAGCAGGTGATTTGTCTCCTGCTGTTGTGAATCCCTCCACGTGGTGAGTCACCACGTGCGACAGGTACATCCGCTGCGTCTGCAGCGGGCATCGCGAATCGTACTCTAGATGGTTCTGATTTAGATCTTATCAATTCCGGCGAGTCGGATGATGTATCCGACTCGAAGGCGACACCTCACGTCTCCGGGTCACCCGGGGCGGACACTGCAAAAGCCAGGTTGACTGGCTCTGGTCAACGTGGCGGTATCGTGTCCGAGATCTTCGGATCGAGTTATTATTTCGACGAATCTCCGCCTCACGCAAGTCCATCCAACGATAGGACGCGTGGGGATAGTGGTGATGCACCTACACATCACCACGAGCTAAGTAACTGGAGAGATCGGGGTGTCACTGGTGTCAGCGCTCGTGCTGACACCAATGAAGAGGCAAGGGGCCGACATGTCCTGCGTTACGCTGCTCAAGTGGAGTCTCCGTGGATGCCGTCATCCAGAGAGTTGAACCGGTCGGCGTGACTACCGAACGGGATCGAATCCTGTTGTTCGATTGCAGGAAGATTTTTTTCCACCTGATTCCAGCACGGAAACTATCCGTGCTGAGGAAGAGTTCTTCACAGATGCGTTTTTCAAACATCGGTGGTACAATTGGCAGCCGTGTTTGAGACGGTAAAGCCTTAATGCAAGGATGGAATGCCCTCATCCATAACACCTAGTGCATTGGCCATGAGACCTGGCTAGCCAAACTTGATGCAGCTTGAACCAGGTTTGAGAAACGCAAATTAGTCAGGGCGCAATACAAGTTGCACCGGCTTTCAAGAGAGGCATGTTTACCTTGTCTCTCATGGGGTGATTCGTGTCCAGGTTGCCTGGACAATTGAAACCGTGCCCCTAGGGAAAAATTCCTCCCTAATGATCCCTACTGGAGGGCGCGCATCTCTTCTGAGATGGCCGAAGGGATTGACACCTTAAAATCCCTGTAATCGCGTTCGAGAAGGTCGTTTTCCGATGGCTCTTCTTCGAACGCAGCGGGTGGGTCTCGTCGTACTGCTCGACGAGACTAAGTACATAGAACAATCAGCTGGGCATAAGGCTCCCAGCTGTCCCACGCCGATGGATACCTACGCCAGCGGACAAGGTATCTCGTCCAGACGCCATTCACATCGCGGTGGTTCAAAATACGCTCCACTAGAAAGCGTTGACCACCGCTTGAGTCCACCAAAGAATGTGGTGGCGGCGGGAACACCTGATCCGGCTCGAGGGTCGGATAAGCTTGATGTTCAAGAGCTGAGACGTGTAACGGAACAGTTGCAAGATGACGTGACACATGAACGGACTCGGCGCTATGAGCTCCATGGCCTTGCAAAGGATAATTATAATTCCTTAGAGCACAATCGTTCGAACGATCTTGCCGCTTTTGCGTTCGTGCAACTTGAGAACGATAGTTCGACTCTTTCTCTTCGTGACGAGCCGGCTGCAGCTCGTCGAGACATCGCTCTACTGCGTGAACAGGTCGCTTCACTAGTCGACCAGACTGGCTCATTGAAACGGGACCACTCGAAGGTGGTCTCGGCTCTCGACCGCGGAGGCGTTCTTCGCATCTCGAAACGGCCTCGTACTGATAGTACGGGCGGAGAGGATCAACGTAGAACGTAGGATGCGTACGCATCTTACGGGGCAGTTCGATCGTGTATGCGTTGCCCATTCGGCGAAACACACGAAATGAACCGACGTACTTGGGAGTAATTTATAGCTGTCCACGTTTGTCACTGCGTGTTTTGGTAGATTTACTGTTCACAGTAAAACTAGGTCTTCTTCATCAAATGAAAGAACATTCGCTCTTCCATGTTTGTCTGCACTTCTGTTCCGTCTGTCTAGTGCATCTGCAATAGAGTCTTGAACGAAGCGGACAACCGCTTCGCGAGTCAGCAGAATTACCTCGCTAATTTTTCCTTGTCAACAGCAGTGCGCTTCGTGTGAATTGCTAAAAGAACGTTGTCTTCACCAGTGAGGGCGTCATCATCCTCAATTAGGCAGTCATTGGCGATGATAAATATGCTCGTCGTCACCCATCATCATCATCGATATCGATCCCATCGACATCGGCATCCATCACGTCTACAATATTGTCGACTTGTGATGAGCAAGAACCAGATCGGTTTTTGTTCGAGCGAGTCCATCCCTTTTTAAACTAAAGTTACACGCTAAGAAGGTGGGTAAACGGGAATGGTGTAGTCCATTCACGAAGAACGGTGTATGCGTTGTCGACGCGTGCACCGAGTTGTTGATGGCAAATTCCGCCATCGGCAAGAACTCACTCCAGCTCGTAAACGAGTGGACATACCCTCGAAGTATCTCTTCGAGGACGCGGTTGATGCGTTCCGTCTGACCATCTGTTTCTGGATGGTCATAAGTCGACATTGTCAAACGTGTTCCAAGTGAACGGAACACGAATTGCCAGAACTCCGCTGTGAAGCGGGGATCCCTATCAGACACGAGCTCACGGGGTAACCCGTGAAGTCCGAAGATAGTGTCGATGAAGACACATGCACGGCCCTGGGCTGTGATTGACTCCAGTACATCAACAAGATGTACAATCTTGCTGAAACGATTAACGAACACAAGAATATCAGTGTTCTTGTGAACGTCTTTGGAAACCCGAAGACGAAGTCCATCGATACGGACTGCCAACACTCTGCCGGAATTGGGAGAGGCTGCAAGGGTGCGCGGGATGAAGGACTAGGCTTTACCCGTTGACAAAGACCGCAAGCGCGTACGTCTTTTCACACAAATTTATACTGGTGGGCCAGCAGAAGTCACGACTTACCGTGAGGTAAGTCTTTTCTCTACCGCGATGCCCACTTGTCAGGGCATCGTGACACTCGTACGTATTGCGCAGTCGCAATTCACCATGAGCCGGAACGACGACAAGAGGTGTGTCGCCGTGGACTGCTGTATAGTGCAGAAGTCCATCACGAATTGATTACCGTTCGGTTGAAGAGCAATATTGAGACGACAAGCTTTTCAAATATTGACTGCACGGATTAGATACGCAATCCATCAATCTCTGAAGAGACTCAACTTCTGCGTATGCCTTCCGCACGTCGTCTAGCATATTCGACGATAGAACACTCACTGATAGTGTTGAGACAGTGGGATCACCCCTACTGTTGGGTTGAGCAGTCGACTCGAAATCGGGCTGACGCGAAAGAGCATCAGCAACGACATTAAGTTGTCCTGGTTTATACTCGACGGAGACGTTGTACTCCGCGAAGAAAGACAGCCACCTCGACATTCGTTGCAAGAGGTGTGGACTGTTTACGGCCGTGCCTAACGACGCATGGTCGGTGTAAACGATGAAAGATCAATATCCTAAGAGATTTACCCAAAACTTAGCCAGTGCATATTTCATGGCAAGGAGTCCCTTGTCATGCAAGGGGTAATTAAGCTCAGCTGCTTGCGGCTGACGCGATTTATAACAGACGACGCGTTGAAGCCGTCTGAGTTGTCCTGCATTAACGCGCAACCGATTGCAAATCGATGGCGTCACCGACCACATGGAATGGTCTGTCTTGGTCTACAATCGTCAACAAAGGCGATTGTATCAAGCTTTTTTGACACCTTTAAAGAGAGCTGACACTCAGTACTCCACGACCACCTCTCGTTTTTATTTAGCAGACGAGAGAGATGTACGGTCATCTCGGCGTAGTTGCGCGAGTACTTGTGCAAGTACGCTGCCAAGCCAAGGAACTTTAGAAGTCCCCTGACGTCGACTGGCACAGGCCAGTCGCTAATCGCCTTGATCTTTTCCGGATCAGGGCGTACACCGTTATTACCCACGATGCTTCCAAGAAGTGGTATTTCGTTCGTTGCGAATCGACACTCCTTGATGTTCGCGAACAACTTATTCTCTTGCATGAGTGTAAGAACCTTTCGGACGTAAATTCTATGAACCTCCACGTCCGTTTTCCATACAAAGCTCGGCTATCGACGAAGAAAGTGTCAAAGTAACTCGGCGCGAAGTCTCGCACCGATCGCAACAGATTCGTAACACATCTGTTGAACGTTGCAGGGGCGTTACTTAAATTCCGTGGCATCACTAGCCACTCCCAGAGCATATCACTAGAAGTGCTCACTGCTGTCCCTCGGTGAGAAGTCTCGCACCAATCGCAACAGATTTTTAGCACATCTGTTGAACGTTGAAGGGGGGTTACTTAGCCCCTGTGGCATCACCAGCCACTTCCAGAGCATACCACTGGGGGTGCTCACTGCTGTGAAAGGGATATCCCGTTCACACACGAGGATCTAATAGAATCCATCCATCTGATCCATGAGCGAAAAGATGGTACTCTTTGCCATACCATCTATGATGACATCCTTTCTAGGCATAGGCGTCTAAGCCGGTACTGTTGCAGCGGTCAATTTATTGAGCGCGTATACTATCCGCCACCCTCCTGTGGCCTTCGAGCACAGAAGGTCGGAGAGATGTGTGGGGATGTTAATTCCCTCACATGACCAGCCGCTAAGCGATCGGCAAAGAATTTGTCGATCGCTGCGACCTGTTCACGAGGCAGTAGCCACTGCCTCATGACACAGTATTTCGAACCAGGTTTCAGTTCGATCTCATGCCGAGTGCCTTTGTCTTGGGCAGCTCGCATGGCACGGATTCAGAGAAAACATCACTGTACTCGACCAAATCCTTATACAAAGTATTTGTCTTCAAAGACTCCCAAGATTAAGACGTTTGTTGATCAATCCGAGTCTTTTCATCAAGTACACTATCTTCCATCGTGAGCTACTGAGAATTCGTTCGTTCTCAGCAAACACCTGTGCCGACCGAATATCGACGACGTACTCGTCCTCTGTGACGAGTACACAGATGTGCTTGATCTTGTCACTACGCAGATCTCGCAAGAATCTGTCAGATTCTAGCGTTGGCAACTTGACTACCTCCGAAGCTGACTTCGGGCGCGTAACCAGATTAAGTGTATAAGCGACTACACTTGATCCGTCATTCACCAAGACATTCACTGTCTCGGTGATTTCCTGGATAACACATCCGCAGGTGGTTGGGGATCCACACCCTCAGCATAACTCTCTCGGGAGTTATCACTCTCAGAAACGCTGAAATTTTCATCCAATACGTGTACTATCACTGTCACGTCCTCTTCAATCGACTCTCTTTCAGTCGATCAGGCTTGCTCTAAGATCGACTCTCTAATAGTCGATCTCACTTCTACGTTTATTCATCCTGAGCAACACTAGTCTCTCTTCTTGGATGCACCCTTCTTGGTGTGCATCGGTGTTCCAGTCCACTCGATCTCTTCGAGTGGTGAACCTTCGGCGCAGCCTGTGCTTCTACACAGGTTCCGGAAGATGGTTCCACAGTGCATTGGCCTTCTACACTGTGATCTTGTGCAATCGTACTAACGACCGTACCACAAGTGAGGCTATCGCACTCACTCGTAGTACATCCACACGCTTGTGGACGCTCCAAGACGTTCATCAGATAGACATCCGATGAACAAACGGCAGACGTCTTCACGGATCGATGCTGACAGCTGGTCCATGGCTCGTATCTTCTGAGCCATGGCAGATCGAGGATAACATCAAATTTGTCTTCCAGATCCAGAACGAAGAAGTCATCATCGTACTGCTTTTTTTCTAGCGTGTAGTGGATTCCCACTACACGTTTGCTCACTGTTACGGATGCGCCTGTAGCAAGGCACACCGTCATCCTAGTTGGAGGGAACGCTCGATCAAGATAGTTGAGACTACTATCCCCTAGCGACTGGCGTCGAATAAAACAGTTTGACGCCCCACAGTCAACTAGGGCGCGAAGTGACATTCTACTTGTCCCTTCGATCTTCAAAGTGATGAGAGACTCCTCATCACTAAGGGCAGCAACACACAGAGACTGCGTGTCTGGAGCAATCACCGTCAAGAGTCCTGCAAATTCTCTTGACGTTGCTGGATCAGCAGGGTGCTCCGCCCCTACTGACCCTTACCGTTTTTTGATGGTCTGACTTGCTGTTGAGGCTTAGCGACATGGTCGGACCCACGCCTTGGACCTTTCCTTGACCAACGGTGGTCATCACGTCCTGTCTTTGGATGTGATGCGGCGCTTGGGACACTACACTTATGGGCGTAGTGCCAAATCTTCTGAAAGTAATGGCATCTTGCCGTTCGCTTGTGACTCAGAGAGCTAGAGTTCTCGCTCTCGAAATAACAGAGGTCCAATGTGACATGGTCGGACCCACGCCTTGGACCTTTCCTTGACCAACGGTGGTCATCACGTCCTGTCTTTATACGTGATGCGGCGCTTGGGACACTACACTTATGGGCGTAGTGCCAAATCTTCTGACATGAATGGCTTCTTGCCGTTCGCTTGTGACTCAGAGAGCTAGGGTTCTCGCTCTCGAAATAACAGAGGTCCAATGTTTCGAGAACTCCGGTTTCCTGTCGTCTCGTCGGACGATAGTTGGACGAGTTAGCCTGGGACTGTCTCAGGCTGAAGTCTTCTTCTACCGCATACTCAATCCCCTTTTCCAGCGTTTGGAAGTCCTCTCGGAACATGTAGGTCTTCATCGGCCCATCTACAAGGCCGTAGATGAACGTGCTGATGAGCAATTGCTCATCAACAGGGTTTTCCGTCA